TGTCTGTCTGTGTATGTGACCGTGTCTCCCTGTGTGTGTCTGTCTGTGTATGTGACCGTGTCTCCCTGTGTGTGTCTGTCTGTGTATGTGACTGTGTCTCCCTGTGTGTGTCTGTCTGTGTATGTGACTGTGTCCCTGTGTGTGTCTGTCTGTGTATGTGACCGTGTCTCCCTGTGTGTGTCTGTCTGTGTATGTGACCGTGTCTCCCTGTGTGTGTCTGTCTGTGTATGTGACCATGTCTCCCTGTGTGTGTCTGTCTGTGTATGTGACTGTGTCTCCCTGTGTGTGTCTGTCTGTGTATGTGACCGTGTCTCCCTGTGTGTGTCTGTCTGTGTATGTGACCGTGTCTCCCTGTGTGTGTCTGTCTGTGTATGTGACCGTGTCTCCCTGTGTGTGTCTGTCTGTGTATGTGACCGTGTCTCCCTGTGTGTGTCTGTCTGTGTATGTGACCGTGTCTCCCTGTGTGTGTCTGTCTGTGTATGTGACCATGTCTCCCTGTGTGTGTCTGTGTATGTGACCGTGTCTCCCTGTGTGTGTCTGTGTATGTGTGTGTCTGTCTGTGTATGTGACCGTGTCTCCCTGTGTGTGTGTCTGTCTGTGTATGTGACCGTGTCTCCCTGTGTGTGTCTGTCTGTGTGTGTCTGTGTATGTGACCGTGTCTCCCTGTGTGTGTCTGTCTGTGTATGTGACCGTGTCTCCCTGTGTGTGTCTGTCTGTGTATGTGACTGTGTCTCCCTGTGTGTGTCTGTCTGTGTATGTGACCGTGTCTCCCTGTGTGTGTCTGTCTGTGTATGTGACCATGTCTCCCTGTGTGTGTCTGTATTATTTTCTCAGGCTTTGTTTAAATTCTAAATTGTTGCAGCTTTTTTAAATTGAACAAAATAATCAGACTGACATGTATCAACTGCGACGTTTTATTGACTGATATATTTTAAAGATTTCTGAGATTAGCTGGCGTAAATTAAAACGGTAGGGGCCTCGGGGCTCTAGATAGCTGAGATCCTCGTCAAGTGTAAAGCCAGCCCTGTTTCCCATCCTGCCTGGACATACCTTCTCCACCTTTCCCAGCATGCTCTGCAAGTCACTTAAGCAAGCACAGCCGATTCTCAAGCCAACGGAAGGCAGCAGAGACGGCCTCCACCTCCATTCTCAAACTAGAACGTTGTGGTATCGTATGCCAGACTTTGTTGCACTAAGCGACGTCCATTTATTTTTTGCTATAAATCCTCATACAATTTGTCTGCCCTTCAACACAGAGCCATCTGTAAAGATCATCATTCAACCTAGTAAAGAACAGTCATGAATCATTTGTTGAACTTTCGATTCTGCAGCACCCGCTGGCCAATACCTGCACTCATCCCAAGGTCAAATTATAAAAAAAAACCAAAAAACATCGTGTAACAATGAAACAAATATGAATATTAAAATAACACAAACAAACAAAAACAGACTATGAAACAAGAAAATAGATACAGTTAAAAAGAAAAAAAGTAGTGAGACAGTCAACTGTGCATTCAGACCTGAAGTGAGTGTTATTGGCGTACTCCTGTTGTATGAAAGCACATCCGCCTCTCACATGTAAACTCGGCTTGGAATTCCCATCAACGGTCTCTCGTCTCCAGGCTCCGCTTGTCTGCAGCAACTGCTCGTGCTGTCTCAGTGGCAAAAGATTTAGTTTAAACAGACATGTAGAGAGGAACAAAGGGGGAAAACATACATCCAAGTTGATAGTGGATGAGGAAAAAAGAAGTATAGTACAACAATGACAATTGTATCTCCATTAAAAAAAAAAAATGACTACGTGTTTGTTTCCCTGTTTCTGCTCGTCCTTCTGCAGTTACTTTAAGGCATGGACTTCTAAACTAGATTTAAAAAAAAAAAAATCCGGTTAACATCAACTGGAAGGCGCTGTCTTCTAGCGTTAACTGATGTAGCTTTATTTGATTCTGATGCCTGGGTTTTCGACCGCCTGCCTAGCCTTGCATGCCAGACGTGAGGGATATCCTTCCACAGATGGGCGTTGTCAATAGTTAACCTGTCTGCTACCCTGAATCAGATCAGTGTTAGATAGGACACTGACAGTAGTGGTCATGCGATGGATAGTTGACTTGCTTATCAGCCCCGGGTTCTCTTATTCGAATCCCAATTCTGACGGCGTTTAAAAAAAATGTGCTATGGGCAAGCCCAGACTAAACTCGATCAGCAGGGATGTTCAGGAAAACAAAGCTGGTCGGCGTGAGACTGACTACCTCACCTTTCGAATACCGATGAATCTACAGACTAGTTTGACAAGCACCGCATACCCAGGGTGGCTAACGGATGTGGATAATGATCGTTGATGACGTTTCTACAAGTCTATCCCACCTATCGTCGATAGTTTGTAAGCAAGTGGGAAATCATTGACTATTCAAAACATTACTTGCAACAACAGACAAGTCTGCACAGTATATCATTCGGAAGTATGTATGCAAGTCGGAAATCATTGACTGGTCAAACTATTATACGCAACAACAGACGAGTCTGTCTGACATTTGAAGATCTCGCTTGTATGCCTGGTGCACTGTACATCTTCACGAGGTAAGAAAGAAACAGATCAACTCTGGTTCACAATTCTTCACTAGCAGGTTTCTGTCAATCACAATGTCGTCTAAAATTCGGATAATTTCATTCGACTAGTCACAAAATGATTCTTTGGGCACATCACGAGAAATGAGAAACAGATAAAGGCTGCGATAAATGTGGGAGAGATTAAAAGGAGAGATAACTGATGGGACAGAAGATGGGCACAATGGCAGAGAAGCAGATCTGTATCAGAGATGTCTGAGAGTAATGTTGACTGAACGCAGTGGACAGACATGATCACCGACAACACATGACATGGACTCAGAACAGAACTTACACTACCACAGAGAACTACAAGATCGACAAATGACCAAACACTCACAGTGTAGTAGTTGTACCATCTGGCCTTGGGTAGGTAGTATTCCAGCTGTGTTTGATTCTAAAGAACAGAAAGATACAAGTGTGTCTGCATTTTATCTAGATCAATTCAACTTGTAGCTCATTCTTTGTTCATTCAGTAGTAACTCCTCGGTTAGAAACCTTGTTACGTTATTTTGTTTCAATTAACATGTTTTATTTGTCAGCCTTCGGCGTTTGATTAAGTGTTGCATCAAGTTTAGTATGTTCTTTTCTACCCTGGAGTATGGAGACAGTCCACAATCTTGTTAGTTTTGTCTGTTCTCTTCTACCCTGGAGTATGGAGACAGTCCACAATCTTGTTAGTTTTGTCTGTTCTCTTCTACCCTGGAGTATGGAGACAGTCCACAATCTTGTTAGTTTTGTCTGTTCTCTTCTACCCTGGAGTATGGAGACAGTCCACAATCTTGTTAGTTTTGTCTGTTCTCTTCTACCCTGGAGTATGGAGACAGTCCACAATCTTGTTAGTTTTGTCTGTTCTCTTCTACCCTGGAGTATGGAGACAGTCCACAATCTTGTTAGTTTTGTCTGTTCTCTTCTACCCTGGAGTATGGAGACAGTCCACAATCTTGTTAGTTTTGTCTGTTCTCTTCTACCCTGGAGTATGGAGACAGTCCACAATCTTGTTAGTTTTGTCTGTTCTCTTCTACCCTGGAGTATGGAGACAGTCCACAATCTTGTTAGTTTTGTCTGTTCTCTTCTACCCTGGAGTATGGAGACAGTCCACAATCTTGTTAGTTTTGTCTGTTCTCTTCTACCCTGGAGTATGGAGACAGTCCACAATCTTGTTAGTTTTGTCTGTTCTCTTCTACCCTGGAGTATGGAGACAGTCCACAATCTTGTTAGTTTTGTCTGTTCTCTTCTACCCTGGAGTATGGAGACAGTCCACAATCTTGTTAGTTTTGTCTGTTCTCTTCTACCCTGGAGTATGGAGACAGTCCACAATCTTGTTAGTTTTGTCTGTTCTCTTCTACCCTGGAGTATGGAGACAGTCCACAATCTTGTTAGTTTTGTCTGTTTCTCTTCTACCCTGGAGTATGGAGACAGTCCACAATCTTGTTAGTTTTGTCTGTTCTCTTCTACCCTGGAGTATGGAGACAGTCCACAATCTTGTTAGTTTTGTCTGTTCTCTTCTACCCTGGAGTATGGAGACAGTCCACAATCTTGTTAGTTTTGTCTGTTCTCTTCTACCCTGGAGTATGGAGACAGTCCACAATCTTGTTAGTTTTGTCTGTTCTCTTCTACCCTGGAGTATGGAGACAGTCCACATTCTTGTTTCCCTTGACCCCGCCCTTTTTTAGTAGAAACCTTTATTGTTAAATTGGATTAAGAGACTTACATAACAACACTAGATTGCCAGGTAATGTCAAACTTGTGAGACCAGTCTTTTTTCCTGTGGCAACGTTTGAAAATGAGTCATGAGCAATTTAACAACCACTAAAAAAAAATAAGGGCTTTTGGACTGAATACTACAAGACAATCCTTAACAAGGAAAGATTTAAAATAAAAAAAAAAACGAACGAAAAGTATTTGAGAGAGCTTCACAAAGTAAGACAATCCTTAGAATATGATGGATTCAGTTCTCGTTATGCCTAGTGGCATATGAGGCTTGAGAGAAGACTTTCCATGCTTTCCTGTCCTGTGCAATCTTCAGTGCAGTTTTCCATGTCAAAGATGCCGCACTCAGGTCACTTTCCATTGTTCGTCTCCATGATGTCTTTGGGCGCCCCTGTTTTCTATTTCTCTCTGGTGTCCATGTGAGAGCTGTTTTGGCAGGTATATCAGAAGTCATTCTCATAACGTGACCAAGCCATTTCCATCTTCTCATGGTGATCATACTGTCTAAAGTTTCTTGGTTTGTGGCTAGAAGTAGTTTAGTGTTTGAGATTGTATCTGGCCAGAAAATTTTGATAATTCTACGTAGACAGGTGTGGTGGAAGATGGACAGCTTGTGTGCATCCTTTTTGATCATTCTCCAGCATTCCGCTCCATAAAGAAGAACTAGCAAAATGATGCTCTTGTAGAGTCGGAGTTCCGTTCCTCTGCAGTAACTGTTGGATTTCCAGATTTGCCGCATCCTTCCAAAAGCAGCTCTAGCTTTGTTCAGACGTGACTGTATGTCCTCTTCGGTCCCTCCCGGCAGGGACACCACACTGCCAAGATATGTGAAATGTTCTACATTTTCAAGTGTTTGGTTATTTATGGTCACTAGTTGTTAGTTTGGACTGCTTGTCATGATCTTAGTTTTCTTTGTATTTATTCTCAGTCCCACCATTTCTGTTGTGCTGTGCAGTCTGTTACTTTTTTTCTGGTATATGTTAATGTTTATGTGATAGGAGTGCTATACCATCTGCAAAATCATCTCATGGATTAGGACGCTAAAAAGCGCTGATATTCTACAAGAACATCAAAGATACCTGGCTCACAAGCACCCTCATCTCTCGTAAACAATAGATTTGTTGGTTTGTCCCATCCGGGCTGACATGACACAAACATACCATTCTGAATGGGAGACTAACAAGGCAGTTCTCAGAGATCCAGTTCAATCTCTGGAGACGATATTATAAGGACATCAGTAGCGTTTACATGAGCTCGGTGTCAGACGAAGTCCTGTGTCAGTCAGGACAGTCTCGGAAACTGAAACACTTTGGTCATTTTACAGATGGCCTTAGTTAAAATACAGTGCTGGATGGCGTGGGCACAGGAGGAGATGGTGTGAGCACAGGAGAAGATGGTGTGGACACAGGAGGAGATGAGGTGAGCACAGGAGGAGATGGTGTGGACACAGAAGGAGATGAGGTGAGCACAGGAGGAGATTGTGTGGACACAGGAGGAGATGAGGTGAGCACAGGAGGAGATGGTGTGGGCACAGGGGGAGGTGGTGTGAGCACAGGAGGAGATGGTGTGGACACAGGAGGAGATGAGGTGGGCACAGGAGGAGGTGGTGTGAGCACAGGAGGAGATGGTGTGGACACAGGAGGAGATGAGGCGAGCACAGGAGGAGATGGTGTGGGCACAGGAAGAGGTGGTGAGAGCACAGGAGGAGAGGGTGTGAGCACAGGAGGAGATAGTGTGGGCACAGGAGAACATGGTGTGAGCACAGGAGAAGATGGCGTGGGCACAGGTAGAGTGGGTGTGGGCACCGGAGGAGTTGGAGTGGACACAGGCGGAGAGGGTGTGGGCACCCCAGGTCTTACTTTGCATGAGCCAGGGGAGAACTGGCTGCGATCTAGAGACTTTCTGACTGCCAGTGATGACAGAAACGTTCTGTAAAGGATGGCGTCACGAACAACAACTACACAATACACACTTGCCATAGCAAACTTAAAAACACATCGCTGACTCATTCGCCGGACATAGAAGAATGTATAAACTCATGACCTTAGAAACTGCTTCTGCATATCTCAGATATACAGAGTGCCACCTACGTCCACCTTTCACAATGAAACAGTGATGTCATCCACACGAAGCATTTCCCTGTTGTTACACGCCAGTTCATCTGTCTCACTTGTGTCTCTACTGATATCTTCAACTGAATTATCGTTGTTCTTATTTAGTTTTTGTTTCCTTAGAAATTATTTTTCATTATCCCATTCGTAAGACAAGATTATTCAACCGACAAACCAATGTTTCTTCCATGTCCCGCGTGATCACTGCACTTCGTAAACTTGCATGGGTGTTTTAGTCTCCTCTGAGTTAAGACCAGCAGACGACGTCACCCAGGACCTGTACCAGTTTAGCGTTCAACAACTATCCTGCGTGTGCTACCTTGTTCTGGTCACTAGACGACCTTTAAATAGGAAATATGGCCACCAGTGTGACCAATCACGCAGTGGTCAGTGGAAGGACAAGACTGCCTACTTTGTCTTAGACAACACAAGGTTGCTTTTCAGTGGCCTGCGTAATAATGAATCTTTCTTGCAGGCTGACCTGTAAATAAAACTATCTTACCTCTTCCAGAATAGGAGATATCAACAGACAAGCGCCCCACATAAATTGTTTGTTGATAGACAAAGTGTCTGTTTCAGTGGGGAATCTGAAAAATGTCAAATACACACTCAAACACCAACTGCTTGTGTTGTTACAGGTCAACACAATCAAACACCAACCGCTGTTGCTGTTACAGGTCTTCAAATTATAAAAGCGCCTCCGAACAGAACACCGTGCACACAAATACTGATATTTCACATGGTTGTAACAGACTAGAGGAGGCAATCTTATAACTTTCTCAAGAACGAGTTTTGGTTGTGTTTAAGGATAAGCAAAGAAAGGTTTGAACTGGGTTAGCAAAAATCAACAATCTCGCAACCGGGACATTCCGTCTCAGAGTTCCAGTTGTCATGGTGCCAGTAACAGTCTGACTGCGGCCCGCCCTTGCTCTAAGTGTTGAGCATCAGCCAGGCCCCTGATCAAATCTCGCTGCTCCATTACCTTTAGACAGATCCCCTGATCAATTCTCGCTGCTCCATTACCTTCAGACAGATTCCCTGATCAGTTCTCGCTGCTCCATTACCTTCAGACAGATTCCCTGATCAACTCTCTCTGCTCCATTACCTTCAGACAGATCCCCTGATCAGTTCTCGCTGCTCCATTACCTTCAGACAGATTCCCTGATCAGTTCTCGCTGCTCCATTACCTTCAGACAGATCCCCTGATAAACTCTCTCTGCTCCATTACCTTCAGACAGATCCCCTGATCAGTTCTCGCTGCTCCATTACCTTCAGACAGATTCCCTGATCAATTCTCGCTGCTCCATTACCTTCAGACAGATCCCCTGATCAGTTCTCGCTGCTCCATTACCTTCAGACAGATTCCCTGATCAGTTCTCTCTGCTCCATTACCTTCAGACAGATTCCCTGATCAACTCTCTCTGCTCAATTACCTTCAGACAGTTCCCCCGATCAATTCTCTCTGCTCCATTACCTTCAGACAGTTCCCCTGATCAATTCTCTCTGTTCCATTACCTTCAGACAGTTCCCCTGATCAATTCTCTCTGCTCCATTACCTTCAGATTCCCTGATCAACTCTCTCTGCTCCATTACCTTCAGACAGTTCCCCTGATCAATTCTCTCTGCTCCATTACCTTCAGACAGATCCCCTGATCAATTCTCTCTGTTCCATTACCTTCAGATTCCCTGATCAATTCTCTCTGCTCCATTACCTTCAGACAGATTCCCTGATCAGTTCTCGCTGCTCCATTACCTTCAGATTCCCTGATCAATTCTCTCTGCTCCATTACCTTCAGACAGATCCTCTGATCAATTCTCTCTGCTCCATTACCTTCAGACATATCCCCTGATCAATTCTCTCTGCTCCATTACCTTCAGACAGATTCCCTGATCAATTCTTGCTGCTCCATTACCTTCAGACAGTTCCCCTGATCAATTCTCACTGCTCCATTACCTTCAGACAGTTTCCCTGATCAATTCTGTCTGCTCCATTACCTTCAGACAGTTCCCCTGATCAATTCTCACTGCTCCATTACCTTCAGACAGATCCTCTGATCAATTCTCTCTGCCCCATTACCTTCAGACATATCCCCTGATCAATTCTCTCTGCTCCATTACCTTCAGACAGATTCCCTGATCAATTCTTGCTGCTCCATTACCTTCAGACAGTTCCCCTGATCAATTCTCACTGCTCCATTACCTTCAGACAGTTTCCCTGATCAATTCTGTCTGCTCCATTACCTTCAGACAGTTCCCCTGATCAATTCTCACTGCTCCATTACCTTCAGACAGTGACGATCTGCGGGGCAGCTTTAAAACAATTGCAGGAATGTTTGTATTGTAATGAGATAAGTAAATGTAAAAATCTGCAGGGCGTTTCCTTCTGCTTGCTTTTTTTTTTTAGATGACGAAGGATATCAACGTACTTTATCTTATTAACTATTAGTTCTTCGGGAATGAAATCAGCCTATATTTTTCCTTTATTAAACATAATTACTGTCTCTAAGTGTGACTTTCAGTGTGACTTAGAGTGTGACTTCCAGTGTGACTTCGAGTGTGACTTTTCAAGCAAAACACAAAATGTGACGTTTGTGCATTGATGGTTGCAGATTTTTAACTCTGACGATGCAACGTGCACAAGACGCAAACACACTAACTCCTGCAACTTCTGTTCCCGAATACATCTGAAGGTCATGTCTGCCATGTCATTTCATCAAGGTCACTATCAGTTTATAAAACTAATCTTCAAGTCTATTCAAAGATAAGTCGACTATTCCTGGCACTTTTCAAAACCACTTTGCCTCTGTGCCTCGGTTCTGTTCATTCGCTCCCACTAGGGCCTTGACAACATTTATCTTGTCCTGCATCAGTTGACCACCAAGTGGTGCAGAACCAGTCACTCTTCCTGCCTGTGATGTAGGCTGATGTTTAAAACCCCCCATACGTGTTCGAGGACGAAAAAAGCTGTCATATTATATCAATACTGACAATAATTACCTGACATGATACGATAAAGAAATCGATAGACTGGTTTCCACTTTCGCTGTCGTTGAATTATCTCAGTGTATATAATAAGACACATCCGTCTACATGAGCTCAGTCTGCACAAAGTGCAATAAAGCAACTGTCAGTCAGGCGGTCAAAGAGGTCACTTCATTAAAGAACTGAGCCATGTTCGATGTGGCAGCTTCCTGCCTACTATCACTAATCTGTACCCCGCGTCATCATCTCCTCCACTGCCTCCTTACATCCCCCAGACAACAGTGTTGTTACAGCTGCATATATCATTCTACTTTTCACCCTCCCCCTACTACCGCCCCTTACCAAAAGACAATTGCTGATACTTATTATAGCTATCCAAATTTTTTTGGCAAAATTGGCCCAATATAATCCATTCGCACAGACTAAACATCAAACATGTATCTATGAGACGTCCCCTCCTTCATCCCTGACACTTCAGTTCCAGAAACAATGTACAGATACACACAACTACAGTATCTATTGTAGGTGAACCGGAGACACTCACTCGTGATGTAGAGGTCTGATGACTGTGCCACCCACAGTGTGGGCCTGGTGGAAGAGAGTGTACAGGTAGGGCAGCAACTGGTAGCGAATTCTCAGGATGTCCCTGCTGGCGAAGGCGACATCGTCCCCGAGCTGGCCTGGAGCTTGATTCTGTTGTCATTGGTTGAACAAGTTAAACACAGAAGCAGACGAACAGACAGACAAATGACACTCGTCCCCGAGCTGGCCTGAAGCTTAGTTCTGTTGTCATTTATTGAACAAGTTAAACACAGAAGCAGACAAACAGAAAGACAAGCGATAGCCTCCAGCTGAGACTGTCTCCAGAAAAGACCTTGGTACATAGAAGCGATGAGGCAGTCGAAGCAGCCACCAGCTGTCCGGACTGCTGCCTGACTGTCCTGACTAACCACAACAAAATCTACAAGTCAAACCTACAAAGTGTACACTTCCACCTCGATTCTTCAACAAAATGCTAACATTGGCCAGCAAGACCAAATCCGCACTAGTGATAGAGTCCGTTGCAAAACAACAACAGTCCACTATATTTACTGCCATGGCACATAATGATGCTGATAATGATAATGATGGTGATGATGATACTGGTGATGATGATGAGTTTTCTGAAAAGTTAAGTGGAACAAACTAGGAATGTGATGCCCTAAACTTGATATTTAAATATGACAGACTACCTTTATATATATATATATATATGTGTGTGTGTGTGTGTGTGTGTGTGGGGGGGGGGGGAGGGGGAGGGGGTGTGCGTGCGTGTATGTGTTTTTGTGTGTGTATATATATGTTCATGTTCGTGTGTGTGTGCATGCGTGTATGTGATTGTGTGTGTATATATATGTGTTCGTGTTCGTGTGTGTGTGTATTCGTGTGTGTATGTGTGTGTACTCGTGTGTGTGTGTGTATGTGTCCGTGCGTGTATGTGTTTGTGTGTGTGTATATATATATATATATGTTCGTGTTCGTGTGTGTATTCGTGTGTGTGTGTATGTGTGTGTGTATTCGTGTGTGTGTATGTGTGTGAACACAACTTTCAAGGAAACTGTCCAAGTGTACAATATGCCACATACCAAGTATGTGATGCCGTTATGGTTTCTGCTGTAGGTGTAGAAGGCCCCGAGTTGCATCCAGCGTTTACATAACTCCGTGCTGGTGTTCTCAAAGAAGCCACAAATATCTGCTCCGATCTGGTCAGGACGACACACACACACACAAAACTTAAAGGGTATAGTTAACTTTCTATGTCCCTAAACAATGTTTTTCTGTATTAAAATTTTACATGTGTCCAAAACCATTTCCTTTGTTAAAGGTGCCCAGAAGTAAGTTTCTGAATGGTAATATTCACAGTGTTATACGATAGAAGTTTCTATATCTTAAAATTAGCACAGTTATGCTACACAAGTTTATATATGTTAGTTAATATTGACACCGTTATGCGACACAAGTTACTGTATGTTAGTTAATATTGGCACAGTTATGCGTCACAAGTTTCTATATGTTAGTTAATATTGGCACAGTTATGTGACACAAGTTTCTTTCTGTATGTTAGTTAATATTGGCACAGTTATGCGACACAAGTTTCTGTATGTAAGTTAACATTGGCACAGTTACGAAACAGAGGATGGTCCTATATTCAACATACGCGAACATCCAACAGAAACCCTAAAACGAACTTTGATGAGAGAGGCCAAAGATGCTGGACTGGATTCCATCTATGATATGGAAAAGATTGCAAGGGATAGAATCTACTATAGGAATAGACTGGAGCTCTACATGTCATGGTACAACAGGACAAGGATGATAGTGTCTCCCAAAGTTTTGCACAGGTTAATTATTGTGCCCACAATCCCATTCTCAGAAGAATCCGACTGTTTGTTCATTTATTTCACACTACAACAATAACATCCCCATTTAAAGATGTATTTATTTGTAACGACAGTACTGGTGTCATCTGTGTCTTGTTGGGACCAGTCAAAGAGAGCACACAACAGCAACACTAGCTGACCATGCATGTCGTATGAAGCGGGGGTTCACCTTATAAATGGCTATATCATCTTGTAGAAAACCTTAGCTGCCAAATCCAACCAGCCATCAGCAGTTCTACAAAGGATGAAGTGAATTGGTTGGGAGCGTGTCTTTTTTGGGATAACAATCGCGAAGGAAGAATAATAAGAAGAAGAAAGAGAGGAACTTATTATTTTAACTGTTATTATTAAGTTTAAGTTTACAACATGGGCTTAAAGCCAATCACATCCTTCAACGTTTGCTTGGAGAAGACAACGCCATCTTGGCATGTTCTGGCAGTCTCGATCTTATTCTTCAATAGAAATCATACTTACATAGGGTATTCCGAAAAGGTTGAATTCCAAAATTCCTTGAATAAAAATTGAATTGGAAAAGTCAGTTAATGAAGAAAAAATAAATTTAGCAAGCACAGAACTGACTCACATGACCTCATTCTCTGTCCAGCAGGTAACTTGCATACTTTCAACTTTACACCACATGGCTTCATTCTCTGTCCAGCAGGTAACTTGCATACTTTCAACTTCACATCACATGACTTCATTCTCTGTCCAGCAGGTAACTTGCATACTTTCAACTTCACACCACATGACTTCATGCTCTGTCCAGCAGGTAACTTGCATACTTTCAACTTCACATCACATGACCTCATGCTCTGTCCAGCAGGTAACTTGCATACTTTCAACTTTACACCACATGGCTTCATTCTCTGTCCAGCAGGTAACTTGCATACTTTCAACTTTACACCACATGACTTCATTCTCTGTCCAGCAGGTAACTTGCATACTTTCAACTTTACACCACATGGCTTCATTCTCTGTCCAGCAGGTAACTTGCATACTTTCAACTTTACACCACATGACTTCATGCTCTGTCCAGCAGGTAACTTGCATACTTTCAACTTCACACAACTTTCTGTCAGCCAGTTCAAACTGATGGGCCTCCATTATATGTAAGTGGAAGGCAGGGGCAAACACCCAAACTCTGCTCACTAGAAAACAAATGATGGACATTCACAAAACTAGACTGTTGGTGTAGGGAACACTGATAAAGGTCACCCCTCCTGCAAGAGGAAGACCTTAACCTATGGGTTCTGACACATTTACGTCCTTCCAGCAAATTATTTGTAGGCTCGGGAGCTCAGCACCCCCCCCCCCCTTTTGGCGAAAATAGCCAAGGATACTGTATCCCCTCCTTCTCCCAAAGACGTATAGATGTTCTCTTTGTGAAGTGCTTGTGTATAATTTTCATATTGTTTCAGATATGCAATCATATTTACTTATATTTATCACATGATAATAATATAATCATATTATTTGCGTACTTAAACAAGGCGTCAACTAGAAAAACATAAGAGGGCTGAGGCCACCCCACCTCACCATACCCACAACGATGTGTGTGTGTGACAGCAATCTTGACCCACATTTGAGAGTCATCTGCTACTGCTGTGTAATCAGAAACAATTCTTGTAGCGTAGTCTGTATCTGTTAGTGAAACCTCAGGGGAAGAAGGCAGTGTTGGGAAGCTGATGGCCAACGCTTCTATCTCTCACTTAGTCTGCTCGGTCCAAATCATGCGATATTTTTTTTTTAAACACAAGAGATCCCTCAAAGTTACTCATGGATCACATGGATGGTCTTCTCACAGTACGATGGAACACTAGATGTTCCATGTGCCAGGATCTAAGCGAGCTCTCTGTGACAACAACATCCCCCAAGGGCCCTTGTGTGAGCTACAGGAATACAATAGCAAGGAGGGATTAATTCGCTGGTAAACAGTTGTAACACCAAAGTAATCGTTAGCAGGTAACACTAACAAACAGGGCACCACGTGACATTCTTCTTCTCATCTGTTCGCTGATGACAGTATACTTGCGCTACTAGAATGGTACTATTAATCCTGTTAACTAGCTTGCCGTGCTGGGCAACTAGAATCGTACTATTAATCCTGTTAACCAGCTTGCCGTGCTGGGCAACACTCAAACAGAGTGGTTTTTCTGTCACAAACAGAGAACAAGAACAATAAATAATAAAATAATACAATTGTTGTGTTTTACAGGGGAGAGTGTTGGCGGCGATTGCAACAGTTACACTCGGGCATCATCACTACTAGAACAGCAAATGAGATACCCCCCAGCTCCTCCTCTCCCCCACCCCCAATGGCCACACAGCATCATTGACAAGTGAGAGTGAAACTGTAGTGCTTTGTTGATGTACACTGATACTGCAGCTCCCAGAAGACAAAAAAAGCAACTCGTCAAAGAGGGGAAAGGCACAGAAGAAGCAGATACGGCCAACTCACCGATGATTGAGCTCTGCATGTCCTTCCACTGGCTGACGTTATCCCCCAACCAGTGACCGGCGTAAGTCCCTGAGCCAGGAAATGTGGAGCGGCTGATGACAATACTCCTCTCTCCAGTGGCGAGTCGTGCAGCTCTGAAACAAGCAGACCACATGAGCTCTCTATCATTCTCAAACAGAAGACAGGCTCAGTTATAGACTATCAGTTAGCACTAGACCCCAGACTAGACAACAGGCACAGTTATAGACTATCAGTGAGCACTACACTCCAGACTAGACAACAGGCACAGTTATAGACTATCAGTGAGCACTACACTCCAGACTAGACAACAGGCACAGTTATAGACTATCAGTGAGCACTACACTCCAGACTAGACAACAGGCACAGTTATAGACTATCAGTGAGCACTACACTCCAGACTAGACAACAGGCACAGTTATAGACTATCAGTGAGCACTACACTCCAGACTAGACAACAGGCACAGTTATAGACTATCAGTGAGCACTACACTCCAGACTAGACAACAGGCACAGTTATAGACTATCAGTGAGCACTACACTCCAGACTAGACAACAGGCACAGTTATAGACTATCAGTGAGCACTACACTCCAGACTAGACAACAGGCACAGTTATAGACTATCAGTGAGCACTACACTCCAGACTAGACAACAGGCACAGTTATAGACTATCAGTGAGCACTACACTCCAGACTAGACAACAGGCACAGTTATAGACTATCAGTGAGCACTACACTCCAGACTAGACAACAGGCACAGTTATAGACTATCAGTGAGCACTACACTCCAGACTAGACAACAGGCACAGTTATAGACTATCAGTGAGCACTACACTCCAGACTAGACAACAGGCAACTGTACAAGCGTACAAACACATGTAGTTGGGCACTTGCGGAACACAACTGGGTGGAATGAGATATTTGAGAGAAAATACGTTAGACAAAGCACTGAGGCCTACAGGATCTTCTACCTGAGTATTCAGTTGGAGTCTGACAACAAATGAGTCTTTTCATGTCTTTCGTGCATGGGAAATATAGTTCAGTAAAGGAGCCTTCCCCACTTCTTCAGTCAGTTTAGACATTTAGGACCAGACATATTTTATAGAGCAATCGGCTGGGAGCCTTTACTTCCCATGACTTCCCCTGTAGATATTTAAGGCTGAGTCAACCTGGGAGCCAAGGTCTTAAAAAAAATTTCGTTGAGACTTTAAACCGTAGACCTTCAGGCCTACAGGCAGCGATTAGCCGCTAGGTTACTGTGGCTCTGACAACAATGACTAAATCTACAGCATGTGGGGAGGCAGACAACTGGGCATCGCCTTGTCAGGTCACCTGTAGGACCAATAGGCTGGTCATCAATATCCCATAATATGACTGTCTATATACCTTCTTCTTCTAGCCTGGGCTACAGAAGTGTGGCTGTTGATAGCTTAGTTTTTTTTGTTCACTTCTACTCTACAATACGAGCTAGACTTTCCTTTTCTACATTACAGACACATTAACAAGAAACATTTACTCAATAAACTCCGAGGAGCGTACACATCTGGACACATCAAAAAGAAATATTTACTCAATAAACTCCGGGGAGCGTACACATCTGGACACATCAACAAGAAACATTTACTTAATAAACTCCGGGGAGCGTACACATCCAGACACATCAACAAGAAACATTTACTCAAGCGTGGCGTCGGTCTGGCTCCAGCCGTAGATACTGTGTACGTCGTAGTGCCGGTACTGGTCCTGGTCGCCCTGGACAGTGCTCATACAGATGGTCTTGTCTGAGAGTCTGGCAGGCCGGCTGCTGCTGTCGAAGCGATATGCTGCTTCTGTGGACAGACACATAAACTTGCCCACATACTGCGGAAACACCCGGACATGGATGCAGTCAAACAGATAAACTTGCCCACATACTGTGGAAACACCCGGACATGGATGCAGTCAAACAGATAAACTTGCCCACATACTGCGGAAACACCCGGACATGGATGCAGTCAAACAGATAAACTTGCACACATACTGCGGAAACACCCGGACATGGATGCAGTCAAACAGATAAACTTGCCCACATACAGCGGAAACACCCGGACATGGATGCAGTCAAACAGATAAATACGGACAGTGGCCAAGCAATGTTTCAATACACGACAGATGGACAGTGCAACCTATTACACGCAATCGGATCTCTCTGGTCGATTGGTTAAATCTGGAAAGGTTCGGTCTCCACCGTTCGGTTCGCCAGTGCATATTTTCTGTGCGTTCATGCTAGAGCTACAGAGTTCTACCTTTGTGCGACAAGCTTCGTTGCCCATCAGCCTCTCTGGCAAGACAACTCTACCGTGCCCGATGCAATGAAGTTGATCCTCTCGCTAAAAATATCTTTCAAATCCCACATCCTCTCTAACAAGCATGTCGTAAGAGTCGACAATTTGGTTTCCTTCCAAGTCGGAGTGCATTTGCTTAAAAGGTAAGAACAAACAGTCTATTACAAACACGCCAGATCTGTAAAACGGATGTGCACGCAAAACTCAGGTTTCGGAACGAGATTAAATTCCAGAAGTCGACGAAAAACCAGAAATTTCAGGAAATCCTTTTCGAAATCACGCGGCCGACGAGGTTAATTTGTACTATAAATACTGTATTATAGTATATTTTAAATAGATAAATATACACTTAGAATGAGATGTTTAAATACCCTAGGAGACATCACTTAGCCCCTTGTTGGGGCGAGGGGGTGAAGGAGAGGAGGGGCTCAGTTCACCCAATATTTATGGGGTGGGCGTGAGGCAGTGCATAAGGTGCCCCCCCCCCCCACCCCCGTCGCCAGCTTCCGGTACTCCTGAGTAGTGTTTATCACGAGCCGTGATTGTACATTCAGACACAAACTTTACAGTCTTTTTGTGTGTGCCTGATATCCCCAGTTCTCTCCCCCAATAGATTGTACAGGAAACAGTTTATCGTTTGATGTCGCCACACTTCGGGTTTTCTGCGTTGTCTCCCCTTCAGCAGAGACATTCCGTTTTATAGACCCTATTCTCAACATTCCCATCATCTCGGCTCTAACAACACGACCACAGACACAACTTACTGGGTCGATATGGTGGGTCCTCCCAGGTATTACTGGGACACTTCAGGCTCCAATAGGGCTTGTCTTTCTCCGGCCAGTTGAACGGCCTTTCTTCGTTCGTGCCAAAGTTGGCCGGCTCATTCATGTCCTGTCAACGTAGACAGTCATTGCAACAAAACAATCGACGAAATGCACCCAAAGACACAACACATATATGCAAATTTCACTACACAGTTAAAATAAATAGATCAAACGAACGAACTTTATTTTCCAAGGGTCGCAAATTAGGCACGAAGGCCCGTCTTACATTCGGCCTTTCCAAACAAACATCTTCACACGCCAGTTGTATTTTCGAAAACATTCAGCCAACCACCAGTCACTCTGAAATATGAGATTCAACCTTGCAAAGCAAACATCAAAAAGACGTTAGGTGTCGGCAGATGGTCAAGGGAGTGGGGTTTTCTCCCCTACACTAGGTCAAATGGGCCTGCAAGCCATTAAAAAAAAACACCTATCTTTTATTCAAAGTCTGTAGTCAAATCACAATCCATCAAATATCAGGTTATGTCTACTCACAATCGACAATCCATCAAATGTCATGATGTCTACTTACAATCCACAATCCATCAAATGTCATGATGTTTACTTACAATCCACAATCCATCAAAGGTCAGGTTGTGCCTATAGTCCACTATGAGACTTTTCCAGACTTGTTTCACCGAGTTCTTTAGGTAATCAGGGAACACGGTTTTACCCTGGGGCCACACCTTCAAACAAGCAAACAAACAAACAAATAAACAAATGAGCAAACAACAAACAACTATCATGTGAAAAATATATGGATTCACGTTCATGCTGTCTGGAACTGATTGGCTTCCTCTCGGACTTGGCACCTGATGGTTTAGCACGTGAAGAGCTACATTCTGAAAGCTACAGAATCAATTTCAGTTCAAACGAGTTGTAAGTTGTAACTACAGAAACCCTAAATGGCTACACAAAGTAGTACCTTTTTCTACCCGGCTGTCTTGTGATGGTCAGGCTGTGACGTAACTCGGAACAGTAAAGCTTTCATCGAACCGATGCAGTGGTTCTGATTCATGTGGCTATATTATTATTATTATGAGAACAAAAACGTTCAGCATTGAAACATCTCTGTTGCATGTTGCTGCCTGTGTCTGGACCAGTGTTTATCTAGCCCAATAAATCTCACTTGTAACAAAGACACTGCGACCGCCTTTGGATCAAGACGGGCAAGCAGGGCGATGAAAGGAATTAATAACTTTTCTGCATGTGATCCACCAACAAACGGGTAAAGCCGAAATGACTATGGATAAATGCAGTCCTTTGTGTCCTACATTTCCGAGGATAAAAGAGAAAATACGAAGACTAGATTCAGTGGTATGTGACTCACATATCCCATGACAGAAGTGAAATAACCAAGACTAGATTCAGTGGTATGTGACTTACATATCTCATGACAGAAGTGAAATAACCAAGACTAGATTCAGTGGTATGTGACTTATATATCCCATGACAGAAGTGAAATAACCAAGACTAGATTAAGTGGTATGTGACTTATATATCCCATGACAGAAGTGAAATAACCAAGACTAGATTCAGTGGTATGTGACTTATATATCCCATGACAGAAGTGAAATAACCAAGACTAGATTCAGTGGTATGTGACTTACATATCCCATGACAGAAGTGAAATAACCAAGACTAGATTCAGTGGTATGTGACTTACATATCCCATGACAGAAGTGAAATAACCAAGACTAGATTCAGTGGTATGTGACTTACATATCCCAGGATTGCGCCATCGGTATCAGAGCTGTTTGCGGGCACCTCCACCCCCACCGCCCATTTGATGTTGCCTTGAATCCGCTTCATCTCTTCGTAAGGTCTGTAATCTGTTTCATTGGCCACCAGACAAGGGTCCTGTAGACATTAAAAGGCAATTAAAAGCTGCAGAAGTGTACTTATACAAGCGACGGTTCTCTCATAATCACTCTCCTTATCCAAGTCGTCCTCTTGTGGGATGCAATTTTTAGTTATTTGAAGCCCCACCCTAGCTTTTCTCAGGGGCCACATTTGTGGCCATAACGGCTGGAAGGGGTTTCTGGGATCTCTCCACGGGTGATCCTCATCTGGATGGTGGCACTTTGTGACACCGGGTGTTTATCGCTTGTGTGATGTCATGGTGGGGTCAAACAAGCAAGCAACCATCTCACTCAACGACCTGTTTACATTTTGCAGGACCATCTAGGGTTGTATATGGTGGTCTCAGAAAAGTCCTGGACAAGAGTTTTTGTGTCGTCAGTAGCTTCTACAGTAATCAAGTCAAAGGGTCGCAACTACAGCTATGTATTTGTACATGTTTTAACATAATCAAATAGCACCATGAAAACTATTTTTACGCATACTTGTAACCTAAATAACACAGCCATGTTTGTGCATGGAGCATGCGTACGTTGCAGACACGGGTGGGGAAAGGAAAAGGGGAGGGCGGGTGCAAACAGTGGCGGTCACGTGACCTGCAGGTCATTTAAAAAATCAAATGACTTTGAGGAACACATTGGTTCGGTCATGTAAGTAAAGTAAAGATCCCTTTTCATGCCTTAGG